TCTACACAGCATTCTTGAATTTACTATTTGTGGATTGGAGCTGGCAAAAGAAATGAAACCTATTGCCCCTTCAGACATTTGCGCTGAAGTACGTAACAGTTGTTAATGAGTTATCATTGGGTGACTATGTTTTGCAGGTCTTAGAGTCACTGATTATTTGGAACTTTTTCAGTAGCATTATCTTCATCAGGACCTTGGCAGAGTTTATCACTAGAAATGCTTTCGAAGGGCATTTCTGGTGTGACATGTTGTCTCTAAAAATTTTACAACTTTCAAAACTTAGAGGATAAATTTACTAAATCCTGTAACTTTTCTCATCATTATTTTTTCATAGTCATTGAAACATTCATTTGTTTTTAAAAGAACAAACAAACACCACCATGAATGGTTATCAGCCCAACCCTGTCTAGAGACAAAGAATTCCACACATTTCAATGCAGTCCCTCCCTCTATTGGCTGCATTAGGAAGTTTCTCTCAATATTAAGCTGACATAGTTCTTCTGAAAGGCTTACCCATAGCTCCTAATACTCTTAAATCCTAATACGGTCGGGCTTATGCATAATGAGCTACTGGGAGAGACTGTTAGTGGATATCTGTTCTCTTTTCTTTTTACATGAAAATAGAATTTCTACTTCAGCACAGAAGCAGATGTGCCATGAAGGGTAATCAAAAGACACTGGGAATCCTCAAAGCATAGTGTCCCCTCCTGATAGCTTGACCAGTCAGCTAATGGCATTTCTCTGGCCATGGAGATTGCTTTGCAGTTGGCAGGCATCGCACCCATTTCAGACCAATGTGATGTTGGGTAGGTTTCTTGGGGTTGTTGTAAAAGCAGATGGGATGGAAGAGTTTTCATTCTTAAGGTTTACTGGAAGCCAGCCTCCCTCTTTCTGGGCAAATCGATTTAAGGATATGAGGCCTCAAATTACTGCAGCAATTTGGCCATCATGAGAAAAGCTATGCTGTAGATGAAGTTAGCACAGCAAGGTGCAGAGCGGGAATATGGGAAGACAGTGAAAAACTGAATTTGAGCAATCCTGAAATCTGTGCATTATACCTCTAGATCTTAAAATTAATTATGTGAGCCAATTTATCATTTAAGCCAGTTTGAGCTTTTTTATTTGTTTGTCTAAAAAACAAATTCATGACAGAGGAATTGTATCCATAACATATAAACAACTCCCTAAATTCTGTAGTAAAACAAACAAGCCCATTAAAAAAACAGGTAAAAGATTTAGAGATATACTTCACCAGAGAAGATATACAGATAGCAAATTAACACGCAAAAAAGATGATCAACATAATTAGTCATTAGCAGCAAATGAAAACCACAATGAAAACTACTACATATCTAGTAGAATGGCTAGGACAATACCAAGTGCTGACAAATATGCATAGCAACTGAAACACGATGCTGGTGGGAATGCAAAAAGAAGAGTCAATGTTTAGAAAAGAGTTTGACCGTTTCTTTTTGTTTTTTTCCTCCTTATTAAAGACTATATTTTTTAGAGCAGTTCTAGGTTCACAGCAATCCTATTCCTCCATATTTATCTAAGGGAAACGAAAATGTTGTTTCCACAAAAACTTGTACATAAGTGCATATGGTGGTGTAATCACAAAAAACTGCAAATGACCCAAATGTCCTTCAGCTGATGAAAGGTTAAACGAAGTATGGTACATCACGGAATGAAACACACTACTCAGCATTAAAAAGGGACATGCAACAACACGGATGAATCTCAAATGCATTTTGGTAAATGAAAGAAGTCACACGCGAAAGGCCTCATATGTATGATTCCACTCATATGACATTCGGGAAAAGACAAAATTATAGGGACAGAAGGCAGATCATCCATTGCCAGGGGTAGGGGGATGGGGGAGATTAAATACAAAAGGGCAGCCTGAAGGAATCTAGGGGGAGGGAGGATGAAATTGTTTGGTATCTTGATTGTGGTGGTGTTTACATAATTGTATACATTTGTCAAAATGCATAGAACTGCACATACACGAAAAGTGAATTTTCCTGTACATAAAATTTTTAAGTGAATAATTTTAAAGAATTCTATATCTACAGTGGCTCTCAATCTCTTGGATGAAATAGGGTTTCAGTTTTCAAGGAACTTTCAGTGTAAGTGCTTAAATGAAGGTGAGTGCTCTAAGAAACAGTCCAACATTAGGTGCACATACCAAAACATACAGCAAGGATAGAGAGACAAGTACAAATGCATGCAACTTCAAAACCTGATACATACTGGTACTGGAATAAATATAACAAGGTAAAGCCAGTGGAAAAAAGCTTCCTGGAAAGGGTGAGCACAGGTTATAAAAATAAAATCTTGCTAGGATCTGAAAGCACTTGGGAAAACAAAGATTTATAAAAGTACAGATTTCATAATTTTCTTGGCATTCCCTGCAAGGTCTAGCACAACACTGTGCATATTGCTGGCATTTGGTTAATAATTTTTTATTATTCTTGTTATTACATAGCATAAATAAAATAAATTGTTCAAAGGACTAGAAAGGCATTCAAATCAAAGGGGGGCGTCCAGAAGTTTCTATTGGTTCCAGACTGGCTCAGATCCCAAGGACTGTTCTCTTGTTACGAGCAAAGTTTAGGGGTGGCCACCTTGTAATGCCTTAATCCAGGTTAATTGAGGTCCTGTTTTTAGCTATGGCCTGTTTTGCAGTTTAAGTAACTGGCGCCAATTTTGTGCTCCTTGCTCTGCACAAAGATGAAGGTTCTGATGAGTACAGGAACACAAGCTCCCAGCTGTGCAGGTGGGCATGCTTCATGTGGCAGGCAGCCCCCCCCCACCCCCTGCCACCGACTTGTCTTCCTCTCCTGCTTGACTGCTTGGCTCAGTGTTCTGCAGAAACCAGCCTCGATGGTATCTTGTTTCCCAGATCTGCAAGAGCCCTCTCAGCTGCAGATTGGTGGTGTGACAATTAACCTTCAAAGTGGCCTGAATCAGGTAAGAGGCACAGAGCAGCAACCACCTCCGGAAAGGTGGCATCTCGCAAGCCCACTCGTACCTTAAAAATCCAGTGCTGCTGTGATTTGCCAGGGGAAGAAAACTGTTTAATCAACTGTCTTTACCAACCCTGCCAGTGCCCTTAAAACCCTTGGCATTTCCCCATCAAAAGGGTCCCTTCCCACAAGCTACAGGTGACAGGGCGTAAAGAAGTAATTTTATTCAGATAAATCCTGTAATTCCTCTCCTTTATAACACATCCTAGCTGAACAATTCACCTGGACACTGAACTCTCACCTTTTTTGGTCAAATTTCCCTTCAACTCTAAAACCTACTAATTTTTCATGAAAACATCTTACTCTTGTTTCATTATTGTTTTGGTTTTTGTTTTCTGTTATTGCATGTTGGTCCTTCATAAGTACACCCATCTCCAATTTTAATGCCATAGAAGGCAGGCTCTGGCTCTGATCTTTAGAGTGGAATCCAGCAATATGTAATTTTTTCAATAATAAACACATTATATAGATGAGAAAAACAACAGTCTAATGAAAAATATTCACAGTACCCAGGCTCTCCCTGTAGCAAAGTCCCTTCCTGTATATAAGGAAAAAGAAGGGGATTCCATGAATCACCAAGAAGTTTAGGAACAGAAAGTCACCCATTCCCTTCCACAAGGTTTTTGAAGTACGTATATTTTTAATGCAATAAATCAAAAGAACCATCTTTATCTCTTTTCCCTACTTCACGCACTCAGAACTACAAGGGTTCCAAACAATTCATACATGAGAAACCATTTCACATATACTTATATTTAGTACATATTTTAATTTAGTGCCAAAATACAGACACTGTACCCTACAGCTTTATCCACTGCCCCATCCACTCCAGCACCTTTTCCTACTCTCCTACTCTACTCATAAGGAACAGGAAATGTCTGAGGTCCCTGCCTGCCATTCACTCCTACTTTGCCCCACAATTGCCTTGTCAGTTTTACCCTTCTAGTTGTGGCCAGACCTGGGAGATTATCTTCCAAAGGTAGGAAATGCTATGGAAGTTTGGGGACATGTCCCTACCCAACCCACAGAAGAGAAGTTTGAAGAGCCTATGGAGCATCCTGCGGGCTTTAAGTTCATGCATCTCTAAACAAAGGCACCACCCAGAGGGCCATCCTCCCGGGAGCCCAGCCATAATCCATGAAATGGCTCCTCTGCCAGGGGGACCAGACGTTGCAGGAAGCAGAAATTGTCTAGCCAGGCTTATCCTTAGGGCTGTGGGGAAAAGTCTCTGAGGAGGAGACTCTGGGACCAAATAGGGGAAAATGGAAAACAGCTCTTGGGCTAGCTAGACGCAGAGAGAACAAGCAAGCCATCCCTGGCGGCCGCTGGAAGGTCCTCTGCACAACAATGGGATGCATGAATTAACACCTGAATTTTGGAGATCAGTTCACACCAACCTAGCAAATCAAGGTAAAAAAGCAAGCCAGAGCTCAGATGATGCGTTTAAAGTGATGGGACAGGAAAGGGTGTGAGCTTGTTTTTATCATCCATGCTGCTGCCACAGGCTTGAGGCAAGGCACAGGGAGCCTCTGGGCCTCCCTTATCTTCCAGGACAGCAGCAGCTTCCTGGCAATACAGATGTAGGACCTACATGCTTTAGGTTTAGAATTCTGGGTCCCATGTGCTTGTAAGAAGTTATTCTAACTTCGTAGGACACTACCATTCAGCTGGGTTTCATATGTATTCTCTTATTTAATACTTATGATAACCATGTGAGATGGCTATTCTATCCATTTTAGAGAAGAGGAAGAAGGCTTACAGATATTAAAGCTTACAGAGATATAGTAACAAACCCAAAGGCACATGTAAAACTCAGGTCTTTAGATACCTGGTCTGGTGTGATTTGCATTACCCAGTGTTTTTCAAACATTGTTTTTCAAGGCCCTCAACAATTCCATAGAGGCATTTGTGAGGTATGTCAGAAATTTTTTTCTTATTGATTTTTTAAAAGAGAGGAATATCGATTTGTCGTTCCACTTATTTATGCACTCATTGGTTAATTCCTTGTGTAGGGCCATGCTAATCTTCTCTGAATAGTTCCAATTTTATTATGTGTGCTGCCAAAGCGAGCACCATTGGTTAATTCTTGTATATGCCTTGACCAGGGATCGAACCTGCAACCGTGGCATATTGGGATGATGGTCTAATCAACTGAGCTACTGGGCCAGGGCTGGGTCAGAAACTTATTAAAATACTGCTGAGTGATGCCTGACTTTGGTACAGTGCTTTGATTCCAAGTACATTTGGTTCCCTCAGCAATCCTCAGAGCATTGTCAGCCCTCACTTTCCCCTGAGCTGCAATGAGCAAGGAGGATAAATAATACATAGGTAGGGCCTGGGTGCCTTGAAAGCAAGCCTCACTTCTGTAACATCCAGCCTCACAGGGCTGTGGTGAGAGAAGTGGGCAAAGCAAAAGGAAGTCTGTTACTGATACACTGTGCCGTCAAGTGATAACGCAACCGTTCATCTTCCTGTTAAAGGGTTTGAGGTGCCACAGTTATGAAGTTCTCTCAGATTGGTTTTTAAAGTTCCTTTAAAATGTCTAACTCTTAAATGAGTTCCAGTAGCTTCCTGCATTAGCAGTCTAACACATTTCCAGTGACTGCTTGAACAGGCCTTGTTTTGGTGGTTTCCCACCACCTGAACTTCCAATCCTATATTTGAAGAATTCCTTACCATTTGCACTTTAGTAAAAAGCAGGGTTGGTGTCCTTCTATGGAAGTGAAAGGACCACGCAGCACCTATGGCAGGTAGGGCATACGTATGTGACCTGATCTTAGCTAGCTGGGTGTGTCCACCTGGGATTTTGACACAGGAAATATCAACGCAGAGAAAGAAGCAGAAAAACAGAGAATTTACTCCAGCAACAGCATACTCAGTTTCCGCACCAGTGGTGGCTCGTGGCGTCCAGTTCTGGCTGCAAGAGAGGCTTCATCAGATTGGCCCTGTGATAAGATTTTAGCAGTGGCGGCAGCTCTCTCCCTCCTCTTTACTTTTGCCCATTTTCAGAGCTTGAGTCTCCAGGAAATCTTAAGACCGGACCTATCCAATCGCTTCTTCTGGTTGCTCAGGCCCAAATTTGGCTACCTCACCGAGTCTTCCTCGTAATGTGATTCCCAGTCCACCAGGAAATTCTGGAGGTGGCCTGTCTCCTCACTAGCAGTCCTGGTCCCAGCTACCCTTATCCCACACTGGGTCACTGTAATAGCCTCTTAACAGTCTCCTTGCTTTCACCTTTGTTCACATACAGTCCTGTTTCCGCAAAATAGTCAGTGATCTTCTGAAGTCGTAAATCAAGATCCTGTCACTCCTCTGCTCAAAACCATACGACAGCTTCTTATCTTATTCAAAATAAAATCCAAGATACCCCTCCCCGCGCTATAATTGGCCCCTGCTTGCTATATTTTAAATCTGGTCTTCTGTCACTTCCTCACTTGCTACTCTACTCTGGCCACAGCGGCCTTCCCTCTATTCTTCTTCACCATGTGGAGCACATTCCTGTTGCTGGACCTTCAGCATCGCTGTTCCTTCTGCCTGGAATGGTCTTCTCGGAGGTCCCCAGGTGACTTGATTCCTTATTCCAGTCAGGTCTCTACTTAAATGTCACTTTATCAGATAGGCTTCCTTGACCACCCAATCTGAAATAGCACTCCTCTCCTCTGCCAGATTCCCGCCGTATTTTTCTTCTCTAACATCTGAATTATTCCTCTCTATTTTTCTTCTTTAGCACCTGAAGCATAATATAGTCATGATTTGTTTAGTGTTTGTCACCCCTTCTACAATGTACGCTGCTTGAGAGTATGGACTGTGTTTTCTGTGATATTCCCAGGGCTTAGAAGAGTGCCAAGCACACAATGGGTACTCGGTAAACATACATTCAGTACATGTTGACCAAGTAAAGTTCCATTTCTGTTTAAATCAGCCATAGGCGTTTTCTGTTTCTTACAACTTAAACTCCTAAGAACCTTATCTGACAGACATAGTGTAAGATCCCGTATACTCATTTAGTGGCCTTGGCAAAGTCACTTAATACCTTGGGACTCAGATTCTTTATATGTTGCATTTTTTGCTCTAAAATAATTTTATAGTTTTTTTAAAAAAGCCAACTTTCCAAGTAATAACAGAATAGTGGTTTTATCCAAACAACTTTATCCTTTTTATGTTCTTAGCAATGAGTCATCTCTGCTCAAAGTTTATTATCTTCAGTTAATCCTTATATATTGCCAATGTCTTTGTCACCATTGCCACCAGTATCACCAAATGAGTAACATTATATTATAGTACCAAACTAAAAGATAGTATAGGATGCAAGCTAAATAAATGCTAAAGAAGTTCACTACCTTGAGAAATGGGTGGGACTCGAGGTGGGTTTCAATGGGAGATAGAATTAAGGTGACCAGAGAGGAAAGTTGGCCCACAGACACTTTAACACATGAGAGCAGAGTGCTACAGGTATATGACGAGGAGGTGGAATAATAGCTGAAATAAGCAAGAGGGATACCTACAAACTATGCCATAGCTTCTCTTGATTTCTGGGAAAAAGATTTCAATCCCATAGCTTAAAGCTTTGTCTCATGCCTTTCTTCAAATTGTGCTTATATCTATACCTTCAACCCATCTTGCTTCCTCCATCTTCTTGCATCCAAAGACTATAAAAGCATTTTTTTTAAGTTCCTTTGCATCACTCATTGGCTCCTATATTTTTCCAAGCCTTTTTCTCATTAATTGCTACCAAACCAAGTTTTCCCCTTCCTATACTTATATATTTTAATGTATATGCTGGACTTTCTAATTACCCCCATAAATTTTTGTCTTTTAGCCTAAAATTATAGCTTACTCATTAGAGTTTGGAATCCTAACTCTAGATCTCTAGATAAATACAGTAGGTTATAGCTACTACAGTTGATATTATCTGAAGATTTCATAGATATTTCTCATAGATCTTTGTCCATTTGTTAAAAATATTAAATGAGGTAAGGCCTGGCCTTTTAGAGATCTCTCTCCAAGTTGAAATCGATCTTATCAGTACTTGGGTTTAACTTTTCAATCACCAATAAATAAATTCACCTAACTATTCTTCAGGGAAGAGAGTGTGGTTTAGTAAATAGAGCAATGTACTACTGAGATTCCTATGAACATGATTCTGCCTCAAACTTTGCCCTCATCTTGTCAAGTCAGTTAAGTTCTTCTGAGCTCATTTAGAAAATGAGAGTGCTACACTACACTTATTTACTGTTCCAAAGTTCAGGGATTCTGTCATCCAATCCATATTTCCCCATAAAAATAGACAATAATGTACTATGCCTTTAAGTATCTTAGAGACAGGGCAATAATATTTCTCTTTGGTCTAATTAATGGTATTCCAGCAAAGGTGAGTTTCACAATATTCTCAAGAATAAACAGTCTAATTTCTATTCATTCCACAATCATTTGTTGAGTGGCTACTGTGTCAAGTGTTATACTAAAAGGCTCTAAAATAAATAACCAACAATAAAAAACAGAATCAATTACCAAATAAACTCTGCATTCCCAGATTTGCCTCCTGCTTGTCGATTTTGGATTTGTGCAGCACTGTGAAAGGGTATCTCGGACTCCTTTCCATTGTAGTTCCCACAGCATTAATCTTTAAGCATTTTATTAAAAGAATTATACTTTATACCTGAATTCTCTGAGATATTCTCTCATTCCCTCTGAGGCAGTATGTAATTAACCATGTTCTTTATTCTATTTTTCTGGTGTTCCTTCTGGGACCCTTAGGGAAATAAGAATTATATCAGTTAAGGTTTGATCAGGGAAGCAGACCACTATGAGTGATATAGAATAGAATAAGGATTTATGATAGGGATTAGGTCTTTTGTAATCATGAGAGCTGTTTAAGCAGTCTATGTAAGTCTGTTGTTTCTGCATATGGTGCTGGGCCTGAAGTCAGGGAGGCCAACTGTCAGAAAGGGAAGACAGACCTGATGTGGGAGAGACAAAGGACAAAGTGGAACCTCTGAGGACACACTTGGACTATGTGTGTCTCTTTATCACTAGTTCTACTCTAAATGCTGTAGACAACCTGCAGAATAAGCTGGTGTTCCTCAGCACAGAGCTACATAGGCACATGACTCAGGGTTGGGAGAAGGTGAAGGAGGAAATCCAGTGGGAAATAGCGTCTGCCTCAAACCAACAAAACAAGTCAGTAGATAACTGAAAACGTCTGCCCTATGCTGACCTTCAGAGCACAAAATTAACTATTACTTCACTTCTACCTTTAAAATTGTATGGACAATTCTAACCAAGAAGCACACAGAGATGGAAACTATGAGAAATGCCGTTTCAGCTTAGCTACTGTTGACATAGTACAAAATCCTCATAATAATCAATATATGACTGGACAGGTTTTACAAACTTTTCCTCCTCTAATCTTCAGAGCCTTTTGAGTACTCATCCCCAAGCTTCCTGCTGCTGTATTTGTTTCTGTTATCAGCAAGGGGGAAAAAAAACTACATAAAAAAACTTCAAAAATCTTTATAGGGAAAATTCTAAAACTTTAAAACATAAAATAAAACTAAATTAAAAAATAGTATGTAAATAAATGGGAAGCCTCAATCTTAAAAGTTGAAAAGAGAGTTAAACGGAAGTTAATATAAAAATTCAATGAAATTCAAAACAAAATCCCAATAGACTTTTTTTGCAGAAACTATACTTCACATGAAAGATTAAAGGACCAAGAATAGCCAGGACAATTATAAGGAAGAACAAGGTGCAGAGGCTTCTTCTCCCAGACAGCAAGACCTCTAGATGGTTGCCAGAGGTGGGGAACTGGAGAGGGAAAAAATGAGTGAAGGGGATCAAAAGGTAGAAACTCCCAGTTATAAAATAAATCAATCATGGGGATATAAAAGAAACTTATAATAAAGAGATGATTTTGAAACCATGGTAATAGTTCAGGATTTTCAAGTCTGCCAGCAAATCAGAATAGAGAGCTAGGCACAGACACATGTAAATATGATCAAGGTAGCTTTATAAATTTTGTAGCAAAAAAATGGAATATTGAAAAAATAATATTAGGACAATCAGTTTAGAAT